AAAAAAAAAAAAGTATATCTCTGGGATGTGGGGTGTGAGAGGTACCTCCCAGAAGCAGTGGGAAGGAAAGGAAACACATGTGGAAAAGGGAAGTCGGGGGAGAGATCCATGGGAAACTTGGGCCCAGGCAGGTATTTTTCTGCCTAACTATTTCGTTCTTTAATTTGTTACTTTCCCTTGAGGTGTGTATTCTTTAAAAGAAAGTAACTGCCACTAGATGGCACCCAGACCCCGGAACTATTCTGACTGTATACGTTATAGTTCTGTTAAAGATTCTTTTCAAAAGATAGGCCACTAATGTGTTGTTTTTAAAAATAAAATGTGATATGTAGCCTGTTTTAGAGAGGAATAAAGGATGAAAAATTAAAATCCAAGATCTGTGTATCTTGTGGGCCCAGTTTGTGCTATCGAGAAAGCCCAATTGTTGAGGTACATAATGGCTCATGGTCTTTGTTCATAGGTAGACGCTGTCTAAAATCTGATTCTCATGCACAAGTGTTTGATTTACTTATTGGTGAGACTTTTGAAATGTGGGTTTATAATGAATATTTTCAACAAGAGAGTCATCTGCCCCTAAAGCAGTATCTTTTTCTCTTTCTTTCATCACTATTTCACATTACACCTCTTAGAAAATTTGGAATTGTGTTTCTTATAGCATATTATGTTGCTTTTAAACAAATGTATCTGATTATTGCTTTGCATTTGTGTTGTGTGTGTGTGTGTGCGCGCGTGTGTGTGTGCATGGGTTACATGTAGACATGGGTACATTAAAGGAATGGGACAGGCTGATCACTGGGAAGAGCAGAGGAAGCCCAGAAAGGGCATGGGGCACTTGGCACAGCGCCCCTCCCCACCCCAACTAGAGAGAAAAAAATAAGACCAGGCCTTGTCGGGCAGTGGTTTTCACCCCCCACCCTCACCCCAAAGGTGGATTGCGTAGACAATCCACCTCCCGTAGCAGCAGCCAGGAAAAGGTGCCACAAAACACAATCTATGCCTGCCATTTGTTTGGGACCAACATTCAATGATGATTCCATAGCTTTGTTTATAAACTGTAATACTAAAACCTTTAGCTTTAGCCATTAAAGACTCCTTGTGAAAGTGAAATTATAATAAAGGTTTGTTGACTTGATTCATTTGCTGTGAAAGGGTATAAACAGGGTCTGTTAAAATCCTCCCCATCATTTCATGTCTGGCCAGAAGCAAGGATGTGGTGCCAAGCTGCCTCCTTCTGTGTGGACCACATGGGGTCCTAACTTTATGTGCTCTGGTTTACTGAGGCTATTGCATTAGTAGGCAAGTAACTAATGCTTCTCCTCACCCTACCCCATCACCAAATAGCAGTGTGGGTATTTGGAGCAGTCTTCATATTGTGCCCTCAGAGCTGCCCGAGAGCTGCCTCAGGGACTGCCCTGGAGACGCCTATGAGGGAACTGTTTCCTTGGCTGTGGCCATTGTCCTTGTTCAATCCAGTGCACTGTCAGGTTGGGGTGGGACAGCAGGTGTGGGAGAATCATGGGCCAGTACATAAGAAATCAGGGGAATCTATGAAGATTAATATTTTATTTAAATTTATATTCCCAATTTTAGTGCCCTTTCCCCTTGTTTGTTTTCTTTTGTTTTGTTTTAGAGAATCAGCAACTTAGTATCTGGGACTGCTTGAACAACATATATTAAACTGTTATACTTGTTAAAAATATAATAGGTGGTTGGGGCGCCTGGGTGGCTCAGATGGTTAAGCGTCTGCCTTCAGCTCAGGTCATGATCCCAGGGTCCTGGGATCGAGTCCCGCATCGGGCTCCCTGCTCGGCGGGGAGCCTGCTTCTCCCTCTGCCTCTCTCTGTCTGTCTCTTATGAATAAATAAAATCTTTAAAATATATATATATATATAATAGGTGGTCAAAAATTAACTAACCATGACAGTTTTCAGTACTGTCAAATAATGTTTTAAAATTTAGCATGTCTTCAAAACTTTAGCTTCATTCCGCTTTGTATTATATTCCCCCAGAGAGTGCATATTCTTGGGCATTTCCAAATCTCTTTGATGTCACCAACAGATCTAAATCTAATTGATTCTTTTTTTTTTTTTTTTTTAAATAGGCTCCATGCTGGGCATGGGGCTTGAACTCATGATCCTGAGATCGAGACCTGAGCTGAGATCAAGAGTCGAATGCTTAACCGACTGAACCATCCAGGCGCCCCTAAATCTCATTGATTCTAATAAGTGTATTGAACCTTGAGTCAAGCGCTTGATCACATATCTCATTTAAAATTCATTTTACATACAGGTAAACTAAAGTTGAGAGAGTTTGAGTGACTTGGCTAAATTCATGCTATCAGTAAATGGAGGCACCTTGATTTGAAACTAAGTCTGTCATCGTGTTACTGTGTAGTTGCATGTTGTAGGCATTTAGCCCTGTGCATATTAAATCAATCTTGGTCTTCTGTTCATCCCATCTATATTACTACAAGATACATTAAACAAGAAGCGAGTGTCATCAGGCCTGAAATAGGGAGTGCACATGGCAAAACCCCAAAAGAAATGTGTGGGTTTTTTGTTTGTTTGTTTGTTTGGGGGAGTATCCCAGCCATTGACCAATAAGTGGAAAACACCCAGACAAGTGGATGGTGCTGCTTCTGCGATGTTAGGAAGAAATTGAAGAATGAATTGAAAAAGCAGAGAAATATAGACTAAAGATAGTTAGAAGCACTGTGACTGTTGTGTAGTCAAAGCTGTGTCTATAATCCAGGCCATTCAGAAATACTGAAGGGCAGTCTTGACCATTACATTTTACATGTTTATAGGACGTGAAACTCGAGCTGCTGCTTCATGGGACTTCAGCTTCTAACAATCATCATGTGCTCTCAAAATGAAAAAAACTAGGAAACACCTGGAAAAACCGTCTATTTTGATGTTTCTGAGTTAAGAAATTTCTGTCAGGGTGAAGGTGGGCAGGATAGCAGATACCCTGATGGCGATTTTTTCCCCTACAGTGTACTTTTGATTATTTGAAGGTTGATTTTAACCTAAGTTGTGTCATTTCTCCCCCTTTCCTAGGGCTTCCTGAAGAATGAGAAGGACAATGCCCTGCTGTCTGCCATTGAGGAGTCCCGGAAGAGGGTAAGAAAGGAACCCAGATGAGGATGGACACCATTGTGAGGGCAGCAGTGTTCTAGAAGCTGGAGCCTGTGTCCAGGCCCAGCTCTCCTACTTAGTTAGTTCACCAGAGGGAGTTCTACAGGAACCGTTTTTGAGGAAGATAATCATGCTTGTAACTCTGCTTGTATTTAGTGACTGAAATGCATCTGAAACAGAATGGTCAATTAATTATTAAATTAATCTTAAAGTGGAAGGCCAGACAATTCTTTGGTTTCATTGTTATTGCATATAAAATGGTATTTTGATTTCAACTGACTGAACCAGCATTTCAGAACAACAGTTATGATCAAGGGTAATTTTCCTTAATCTTACCTTTTATCATACAATTTGACTTTCTGTGTTACCTTTTACATTAACAATTTTTCCAAGCTCTTAAAAAAAAAAAAAAAAGAAAGGAAACCAGCTTAGCTGTCCACAGGATGAAAAAGAAGTCAGCCAGAGCAACCATTATATGGGCAGCAATATTTTGCATCAGGCATTCCCTCAAGATACTCAAGGATTGTTTACTAACATGTGTTATCTCCATTTGTTTCTGACAAGAATTGGAAGATCAAAACCTTTCCAGAAGATCCCATTACAGAGTAAGAGATTTTATTTTTAGGCCACTGGAGTCCTTTGGGGGGTGGGAAGAGGAAGGTTAGCAGTCCCCAGGAAGGAGGCTGGGGGGAGGATTCACTCTAGTCTGCCAGCAGTGCATGTCTCTGCAGAAGTGCATAGGGTTGAAGGGGAAACCTCTGCTCTGTTGTTTACTTTATAACTCTTAAGTGAAATATATGTATTATTTACGTAGTTTAAAATTACTTATGTAGTGTAAAATAAAATAAAAAACTGTTTGTCAGTGTGCTTTATTAAAATGTTCTGTGCAGGTGGGACTATCTCAGGAAGGCTGATATGAGAGAGAAAGAGAGGGCCACAGGGGGCTTGCCAGCTCTTAATTTGTAAGAAGGTGTTCCAAAGCATTTATTTAAATGATTGGTACGTTTAACTATCAGAGTAAAAACAAAATCCCCAAAATTTTATTAAGTACATTTTTGGCAGTAGTACTTATTCCTAGAAATAGATTGAGATTTGAAAAAAAAAAAAAAAAATTTTTTTTTTTATAAAGGCTTCTTGGTTCACACTTTGAGTGAATTACTCACCAACATCAATTCTCCTGCTGTAAAGGACCAGTGAAATTAAATTAGGATTGTCGAATGCCACTGAGCCTTATTAATCCATTTACCCTGCGGAATGTGTTTCTGGAATTGGCAGTCTCTGTGCCGTACTGAGACTAAATGTGCAGCCAGCCAAAACATCTAAGTGACATACCACAGTGCAGAATGTGTGCATATGTGTTTGTGAGGGAGATGTTCCGGTGTTGGGAGCCGGCCTGGGGGGAGACCTTTCACCTGTCTGGACACCAGCAGACTACCACTGAGCAAGAATTATTTTCAAACAAAAGGTGAGCGGCTTCCTGGCATTTTGGTGGTAATTTCATGTTTGAGTAACTTGCCAATGTCCTGCTGAAATGCCAAGAAAACAAGCTACAAAACCACAAATGTGTCCTATGTTATTCCATTTGGTGCATCCCAGCAAAAACAGAACAACATTATCAGAACATATGTAGAGTTTCCAAAAGCCAGAAACAGCTCAATAATAAGCGGGTGTGAAGTCAAAGCATATTTCCCTATTCCCTTTATGAAAGTGGGGTTCAAGTGCTCCCCACCTGTTTTTAATTCAGTTGCCCATTCTCTTCCTGTCTTCCTTTCTTAACTGTATGCAGAGAGAGAGATGTCCACACATAACTTGAAAGAGTCCAGTGTAATTTATAATTTCTCCACTGCTTTGTCATTTTCTGTGGTTTGTCTTTCCTTCCTTTTAATTTGTACCTATCCATGCACCCTTCCAGGTTGTCCCTTTTCTCTTCCCTTGGATTCCTCTGCTTCTTGTCCCTACTATTCCCTACCTTTCACCTTGCCTCAGACCTTCACTCCTCTTAGTTGTCAGTTAGTAGCTCTGTTGAATCTCATTCATTAGCTCTCCTGGTTGATATTGTTCTTTGCACCTAATCCAGTGGTTCAGTTGTGGGTCTAAAGGGAATAGGCTGAAATAGGGCAGATGGGTGGCTGATCATCTCTGATTAGCCCACAAATTAGATGTTCATTAGGTCGAATGTAATTAAGATAAGCTAGGGGTTGCATGGTCAAAGGAAGAGAATTTTAATATTGGGCCATTTATTTTTATTTGAAGCTCCTTATCACACTAATGATGAATGGAACCACAGTGCTGTTCATTCAGGTTGCGGGGCTGTTTGTAAATGAGTAGCCTGGCAGTCTCCTCAGATATATCTGAGGATTTGAGCCCAGAAAGCTGCCAGTTTTCAGAGTACTTCCTGTGTTCTTGAAACAGGAGTTCTTGGCACATAGGTGGGCAGCCTGATGAACCAGGTGTTGGTTAATTCCCATTCTTGTCACTCTAACCCTTATATGATGCTGGAAGTCTGTGCCCATTGTCCTCATCAACAGCATTCTCTGGGTAGTATACTGTCTGTTTTCTTCAGTTGGCTTTCACTCTTCTGCCATTCTTTACCAGCCAGAGGACGTATCCTTAAGAAAAACTCTTGTGACACTCCGGTGTCGTGGGTCAATACCACAGCTTAGGCAGTGCCTCACCTCCTGTTGCAGGCTCAGAAAGCTGTGTGGTATGCCAGCCTTCCCCCACCTCCCTGTTTCTGCCCGCCCTGGTCCCCGTGCCACATTGCCCTTCATTTTCCTTTGCTGGGAGAGGCTCAAGGCTGAGGAGGTTGTTGGTTTGACCGCTAAATAGGAAGAGTTGAGAAGAAATTGTGGTTCACTTGTGCACCATTTCTCGGTATCTTCTAGGGAAACCACCCCTTCTCCTACGCCTCACACCGCCTTTCTGTTCTAGTGTACTTCTTTCTATTCAGAATGCATAGCTCTCATATTCAAGTTCACTAACGTAACAAGAGAAAATGATTTTTGCCTTGGGTATTTTTTCACCCCAGTCTAACTGCCTGGAATAGTCCATTCTGCCTGACTCCAGTGAGAAGCAAACGAGGTGGAAGACTGTTTTTAAAGTTCATGATTGTCATTTCTCCTTGTGTCTTCAGAATACATATTAGAGAAGGGATTCACTGATAGATGGACCAAAATCAGACTTGCAGGATATGCCAGCCTTCTTCCTAATCATTTTTGTGTATGTCTGCTATTTGTCTTTTTCACGTTTTAATAAATATTGGTCCATACTCAAAACATCCCATTTGTAGGAAGAGTGTATATGATTTTTCTGACAGTTTCCCAGGGCTCATGTATATGGATATTATCAGTATAAATTATCTGTGTTGCCAGAAATAAAGTAGGCATTACTAATACTCATTCCCTTGGTGCTGCCTGATTAGATGCCAATCTGATTGTAAATGAAATGGCTTTTTGAAAAGTGGGCTGAAGCTGTTGGGAAACCCAGTCTGCCAGTTAAAGAATAATAGGCTAAGAACGGTCATGATTCAGTGTATTTATAAGTTGCTTTCATTTCTTCAAGAACGTTTTGTTTTGTTTTGTCTTCTCCCTCCCTCCCTTCCTCCCTTCTTTCCTTTCTTTCTCTTCTTCCTTTTCTTTCTGAGCACCTTTGTTTTGGCAACAACCTGCAATATTACCACTAGACAGGCGTGAGGTTTGCCAGACATTTTCTTGATCACTTTGGGTAGAGTGGTGGGAGACCCAATCATCGGAAGTGCCACTTTTCTTTTACTGGTTTGCTTCCTCCTATGAAAGTATTATTGTCTCTTAAAAAATAAAGACATTGAGAGACTCTCTTGTTTTTGTCTTTTCCTAGATGTTTACTAAAAACCATTGATTTTTATAATCCAAGAAAAGTACTTCACTTTAAACTGTGACATGCTATCACTTGTAATATGTAGCCTAATTTCAGAGGTTTAAAAAGGTATTTATCTTAATGAGCACATGAAAAGATGTTCAACATTATTATCATTAGGGGAATGTAAATAAATCAAAACCATGAGAAATCAACTCACACCTATTAGGATGGCTACTATCTCCCCCCCCCCCAAAAAAAAAACCCAACTACCCAGAAAATAGTTAAGTACTGGCAAGGGTGTAGAGAAGCTGGAACCTTTGTGCATTGTTGGTGGGAATGTAAAATGGCACATCCTCTATGGAAACACTGTTCAATCCATCAAAAAATTAAACACAGCATTACCATGTGATCCAGCAGTTCCACTTCTGGGTATATACCCCAAAGAATTGAAAGCAGGAGCTTGAAGAGATATTTGTACATCCATGTTTATAGCAACATTACTCAGAATAACCAAACGGTGGAAGTAACTCAGGTGTCCATGGATAGATGGGTGGATCAACAAAATGTGATAGACACACACAGTGGAATATTATTCAGCCTTAAAAAGGAAGGAAATGCTGCATATGCTACAACACGGATGAATCTTGAAGACATTATACAAATGGAATAAGCCAATCACAAAAAGACAAACACTGTATGATTGCACTTATATGAGGTACCTGGAAGTAGTCGAAAACATAGAGACAGAAAGTAGAGTGGTGGTTCCTGGGGACTGGGGGAAGGAGAGGGTGGAGAGTCAGTGTTAAACAGGGACAGGATTTCAGTTTTACAAGATGAAAAAAGCTGTGGATGGCTGCACGACAGTCTGAATGTACTAACATCACTGAACTGTACACTGAAAAGTGGTTAAGTAAATTTTACAAGTATTTTAGCACTATTAAATTTTTTTTTTTAATGCATTAGACTCTAAGGATAATTTTTAAAGTAGGTCGCTGTTGCTCTGCTTACAGAAAGATGGATCATCGGAGGGGCTTTGAGTCTCCGTTGAACTTTGAAGGAAACCATGTTGTTTTCCCGTTTGGATCATCTCCCCTCTTTTCCTCTCCGACAGACCTTTGGCATGGCTGAGGAGTACCATCGAGAGTCCATGCTGGTTGAGTGGGAGCAAGTGAAACAGCGAATTCTCCACACACTGCTGGCATCAGGAGAAGATACCCTGGACTTTACTCAAGAAAGTGAGGTAGGTTGAGTCTAAAAGATAGGCCTCTACTAATAAAAATGTGAGGTCAAGAAATGCTTATCTGCTCGACTACTGGCACTCTTGGAGCAGATAATCACCATCTCCCTGGAGACACTTTCTTCCCCTGGCCTCCAGGATGCCCACATTTGCTGGGATTTCCTCCAGCATGTCTGGCTGTTTCTGCTCAGCTTCCTTTGCTGAGTTGTCCTCAGGCTCCTTGACCTCTAGATGTTTGAGTGTCCTGGGGCTCAGTCGTTGACCTGTGCTTTCTCCCTCAATCACTGCCCTGTTGATCTCATCTGGGCTTGTAGCTTTAAATACCATTTCTATGCTGACGATTCAGATTTACCTTGCAGCCCTACACCCCAGGCTCATTTATCTAGTGGCCTTCTTGGCTCTCCTTGGGTGTCTCGTAGCCATCTCAAGCTCTCCATGTCCATAGTTGGGTCATGATAGGAACTGCCTGCCATCCCCCTTCCCATGCCAGCTTGCCAGCCTTCTTTTCACAGAGTTTATCATCTTTATAAACGGCAGTCCAATTTTTCACTTACTCAGATCAAAAACCTCAGATTCATTTTTGTCCTCTCCTTCTCCCACCTAGTCTCTCTCTCATGTTGGCAGGTCCAGTTAACCTTACTCTCAAAATACCAGACTCCAACCACTTCTTACTATTCCAGCGTTAGCACTCTGGTCCAAACCACCATCATCTCTCTCTCAGATTATTGAACTGGCCTCCTCACTGCTGGTTTTACTTAATATGGCTGTCTAACAAATTATCCGAACTGTAGTGGCAGCAAACAAGCATTTAGCTTAGCTGGGTATTTCTGGCTCAGGGTTTCCTGAAAAGTGTTAGCTGAAGCTATCATTTCAAGATTCAACTCAGGGAGGATCCACTCCTAAGCTCACTCAATGTGGCTCTTGGCAAGCCTCAGGTTTTCTCTGGCCCTTGGCTGGGAATATCAGGTTCTTGTCATGTGGGTCTCTCTGTTGTGCTGCTCACAACACAATAACTTGCTTCCCCTGGAGCAAGAGTGGGGGATCTGAGGGAGAGCTAAAGTGCTCCCTAGATAAAAACCAGAGTTTCTGTGACTTAATCATGAAAGTAAACTCCCTCTGTTCAAAGTAAGTCACTAAATCCAGCCTATACTCATGAGGAAAAGATCATACAGGAGCTTGAATTCTAGGAGGTGGGGATTGGGGCGGGGGGAGCCATCTTACAGGTGCTCGACCACACTAGTCTCCCTGCTTTTGCCTTGTACAATATCTTCTCAAGACAGCAGCCAGAATGACCCTGTTAAAACACAGGTTAGATCATGTCACTCTGCTTAGGATCCTCCAGTGACACCTACCTCACTTGGAGTGAAAACCAGTCTTCACCATGACCTCTCTGTCCTCACCTCACCTAGTGGTATTGCCTCTCCGAGCTCACCTCATACTACTCTTCCCATTGCTCTTTCTGCTGCAGCCATGCAAACTTCTTAACAGATTCCTTGAACAAAGCCGGCAGGCTTGCTCCTGCCTCAGGTCCTCTGTGCTTCCTATTGCATTCTGTCGAGAATGTTCTTCCCCCAAGTAGCTGTGTGGCCGTCTCCCTCACTTCCTTCAAATATTTACCCAGTCCCATCTCAGTGAGGCCTTCCAAGGCCTTGATATCTGAAATCTAACATAGCCTCTCCCCATTCAACACTTCCTATATCCCCTTTTCTTGCTGTATTTTTCTTTTCAGCATTTCCTTCCACGTACCATTGTGTATGTTTCATGTCTTTATACTGCTTAGTGCCTGTTTCTCACAGTAGAAGGTAAGCTCTGTGAAGGTAAGGAATTTGTCTTGATTTTACTCATACCTGCAGTGCCTAGATGAGTGCCTAGAACAGATGCTCGAGCAATATTTGCTGAACAAATCATTGGGCTCTGGCTAACTTTGTGGTAGCTGAAGTATTAGAGATACGTTGAAACTGATTTTAGAGTGAGAATGTTAAATAGGGTTTGTTTTAATTGCCAGTGTTTATTGATTGGTGGTAGTGCTAAGTTGAGGGTTTTCTCCCCTCTAAAATCTGATTTTTAAAAAGGCAATGTATTTATATGATTCAAGAATTAAAGTACCCTGTCCCTCAAAAGCTCCTTCCCTCCCCGCTTTGCCTCCCCCAGATGTAATCACTATTACTATTTTCTTGTGTATATTTCCATTGTTTCTTTATATGAACACAGGTATATGAGATTATACATTCTTACCTTCCTCCCTCCTTCTTATACGAAAGTTAGCTTTCTCTGTGCTCTGTTCTCTATCTTGCTTTTTTCACTTCATGTATCCTGGAGATCTTTCCTGAGAGGGACTTTGAGGCTTCATCTTGGGAGTGGCAGGAAAGAGCATCTTGCTTGATCAGTCATGTCTGCCTTTATGCTATGGGGAGCTATGACTTGCCACACAGTTACCACTCTGCTGTTGAGGAGCGAACAGATCTGGGGGTCAAATCCTCGCTTCACCACTTACTAGTTCTGAGACCTTGTTCGAGGGACTTAACCCTGCAGACTTTCAGTGTCTTTACTGGTGAAATGGGATGATTGGGAAGATAAGTGATAATACACCTGACCCATAATGGCCATCCCTTACTATTGTTATAAAAAGTTGTTTCAGATGATTTAGAGGTGCAGATTAAAAATTATACAGTGTTATAAAAATTATCGTGTAAGACATTTCAAGTAATATTACCAATGCTTCCTGGTAAATCTATCCTGGAATTTGTTTCGTGGCTAGCTAGCATTCTTTTCTCACAAGTGCTAGGACAACTGAGGCTCAGAGAGACGCGCAGTATACTGGTGCGATCCAGGACTGTTGGCTTCCATACCATCATTCTGTTGAAGTCTGGATCAAACATGGGTAGTTTGGCAGTGTCATGCTTACAGGGTAACTTCATACATCCCGTACTGATTTAAAAACCATTTTTTTCTATTAAATTAGCCCCCAAATAAATGCTAAAGACATTTGTCTTAGGAAACTACTCATTAAGGACCCTGTGGCACATTTCTTAGACTCAAAGACTTCAAAGACTAAGATCAGATCTTTGGGAAAGAAGAACTAATGTGTAAAACCCTTAGCCAGTCTCATGTTTCTTTCTCAATTTCTTGTGAGTCTGGACAGATAAGTAGAACAGCTCATGGTTTTATAAACTTCATTTTTTAAAATGGTGTTAATAGGTTGTGGTCTGTATTGGGATTTGGAAGTAATTATAAGCTGCTAATGAGATGTTCTTTTTTGATTGCTCTTCTCTTAAAAATAGATTAGTCTATTTAGTAGACTTTTTCTTCCTTGACCTCGAGTCCCCTGGGAAGAGAGTTATCGATACTTTTGCTATTCTCTATTGTGACACCTAGCATAATGGATAGCATTGCTGTAAAAGCTGGCAAGGGATGCAGATGGTTCTCCCTTTAGGTCACCTAGGGAATTGCCATTTTCTGGAACCTTGTCGGTTCTGTTTGTTGCTGTTGTTTTGTTGAAATTTTTTCCTGAAGTATAACATATATATATATACAGAAAAATGCATACATTATAAGTATGCAGCTCCGTGAATTATCACAAATGGAAGACACCTAGATGAAGAAACAGATTATTACCAGCACCCCAACAACCCTCCTTGTGTGCCCTTCCAGTCACTACCTCTCAACCACCACCAAGGGAACCATGGTCCTGACTTCTAACATCATAGATTAATTTTGGCTGTTTTTGAACTTCATGTAAATGAAGTCATGCAGTATGTACTCTTGTTTCTGGCTTCTTTTGCTGAACATTCTGTATATCGTTGCGTGTAGTTGTGGGCCATTCATTCTCATGGCTGAACAATATAACTACAATCAGCTTATCCATTCTTGGGTTGATGGACATTTGGATAGTTTCCAGTTCTTGGCTTTTATAAATAGTGCTATTGTGAACATTCTTGTACGTGTCTTTTGGTGAACATATGTTTGCATCTCTGTTGGGTACAGCTAAGAGGGGAATTGCTGGGTCAGAGGATATGCATGTGTTCATCACTGGTAGATACTGCCAAACGATTTTCCAAAATGGTTGTATCCATGTACCCTCCTACCAGCATTATGTGAGAATTCCATTTGTTCCATATCCTTGCCACATACTTGTATTTTCCGCCTTTTTTAAAATTTAACCATTTATACAGCCTTTTTCCTTCTAATCTTCTTCAAAAATAATGGAAAGGTGAGATCATTTTCCTCTACCCTGTTTATGGGAAACCACTGTGTGAAGGCCAGAGATAGGCTTTGGGATTCCCGGGCCTGGGTGTCTTTCTTGAAAACGGCCCCTCTGGAAGTAGCGTCATAAGGAATGTAGAACACATGTGAAGGGATTTGCCAGGTGACAGCAGAGAGTGCGCACGCAACACATCCGAGCAGTATTTATGGTGGCTGTTAGTATTTGGTAAGCTACACATGAAATTTATTTTAATCATTTCAGTAGGGATCTGGCCCCTTTTAGGGATTTCCCTTGGTTTATAAAATATCTCTCGGAATGAAAGAAAATTGTGTATAAGTAGAAGAAATAATTAAAGAAGTATGACTTGCCATCTAAACCATTCTTTTCTGGGCACTTTATTGTCAGGAATAAGGTTGTTGGCATCCAGAATCATGGGTTAGGAAGGAGGCTTTTTTTTTAAGATTTTATTTATTTATTTGA